AGTCTCTGTGTTCACACGAGCAGCAACGGAAGCACCACATAAACGGAGCTTCAGTTTCATCCATCAGTAAGCTACAGAGATGGTTGGGTCCTCTATCGCATCTCCAGCATCCCCATCATGACCACGCCCACGTCTTCAGCACCAGCATCAATCTGCTGAGTTTCTTATCCATCATCATTTGGCAAATCCAACTTCCTGGAGTATATTGGGGCATGCCTCAAATCTCCCTAGTCTTCACGTGGAAAGCCCGCCGCACATAGGGCCTTGTTGGTCCTACATCTTGAGAAGACATGACTGAACCGAAGGCATTGAAGCTGGTGAGCCGCAAAGTCGTCGCCCCAACTCCGTCGAGCCTAGCTTCATCTGGCGCAGGGCACAGGCGATTGGACAGCTGCGCCTTGGCCCCGTGTCAGCATGGCGCCAACTGCCGCCCCAACGGCCCCTCTCTCGTCCCGCGAAGAAGAAAAAAAACCTTCTCCGCAGCACTAGTGCCGGCTTCGCAGGAAATGATGCAGTTCCGTTGGAAGCTGCAATGCGACCCCCTGGGCGTGCTCCGCACCGCCCAGGATGTTGTCATTCCTGACAGACATCCTCTTCCGGAACGGAAAATAACAACTGGTGAATGAAAAACAATGGGTTAGAGTGGCATCTGTCTAGCATGGCTTCGCACCTGCTCCGCCCCTTCAGCTTTTTAAGCCATAAGGGAAGGACAAGAGCATCAAAACGAGGCACCACGAAGATGCCTCGAATGACTCTTGCTTGTCAGTCGCTTGGGTTGTCGGGCTGTTTGGGCGCTCACCAGGACAAGTCCTTGGGTGCGGCGATTGGGCCGCCGACCTTCTTCTTGTATTCTTTGCCCTCAGCCTCGAAGGCAGCTTGGATCTTCGCCTCAAAGGCCTCCTCCATCTCCTGGCAGGGAGGCACCTGCACGAAGACTTTGCCGTCTTCCACCTTGGTCTTGAAAGTCGACAGGTTGAAGTTGGGGTTGCCGAGGCCTTCGCCGGTTCTCAAGTTGTAGGTGGTCTTGTAGATAGGATCCGCCAGAGTCAGCACACCACTCAGCTGCTCGCCCACCAAGCCCCTGGAGATACTTCGAGCTTGCCTGTGGGGGCAAAGGTTCTGTGTGGCCAGCCATTGATCCTCCGGAGCCTGCTTGGGAAGGTGGAAAACGGCAAGCTCCTGAGTGCCGTGTTTCACGCTGAGGCCGCCGTTCTTGGGATAATCCGTCACCTTACCGGCAAAGATCCACTCCCAAGTGGCAGTGGCCTGGTCTTTGGAGAAAAGCGCTGCACCGGTGATATCCGGTGGGCTGTAGGTGTTGGGATGGCGCTGGCCACGCATGTCGACATACTCAATCTGCTCAGAATCGTGGACATCGTTGGTGTTGGCGAACTGCTTGAACTTCTTGCGCAGGTCCTCGTCATAAGCCACCTCTTTCCACTCGCACTTGAAGTTCCCGCGGTTGTTCGCCATCAATTCCTCCAAATCAGCAGCGATGCCCAGCGAATCCTCAATGACCACCTTCTTCAAATACTCGATGCCCCCCTCCAGCTCAGCCAGCCAAGGTGCGGTGCGCTGCAGGTGCTTGGCAGTCGAGATGTAGAACATCAGGAAGCGGTCAACGTATTGCAAGCACACCTCCTCGGTGACGTCCGTGGCAAGCAGCTTGGCATGCACCGGCTTGGCGCCGCCATTGCCGCACACGTAGAGGTTGTAGCCGGCCTGGGTGGCGATGACGCCCACATCCTTGCTCTGCGCCTCCGCGCACTCCCGCAGACAACCCGAGGCCGCCATCTTGATCTTGTGGGGCGATCGCAGGCCTCGGTATCGATGCTCCAAGGTGACGGCCATGGTCACCGAGTCCTGCTGTCCGTAGCGGCACCAGGTGCTCCCCACGCAGCTCTTCACCGTGCGCAGGGACTTGCCGTAGGCCTGTCCTGTCTCCATGCCGGCATCCACCAGCTCTTTGAAGATGTCTGGCAAGTCGTGGATCTTGGCGCCGTACATGCCCAGGCGCTGGGCTCCGGTGATCTTGGTCCACAGTCCGTACTTCTTGGCCGTCGTGGCGAAGGCCAGGAGGGTGTCTGGAGTGATGTCACCACCTGGACAGCGTGGGATCACGGAGTAGGTGCCCGTCTTCTGGATGTTGGCCAGGAAGCGGTCGTTGGTGTCCTGGATCTGATCACGGCCCTCGCGCAGTGCGTGGTCATTCCACAAGCCAGCCAGGATGGAAGCGATCACAGGCTTGCAGAGCTCGCAGCCGTCATTGCCCGTGCCAACCTTGCCCACAGTTGTCAGGACGTCCTCGAAGGACTTGAGCTGTTTGACCTTGATGATGTCAAAGAGCTCCCTGCGAGAGTAGCTGAAGTGAGCGCAAATCCCGGTGGCCCCGGCCTTGCCCAGCTTCTTGAGTGTGTGGGCCAGGAGCTTTGGCACCTCGCCCACTGGGGAGACGCAGCCGCCACAGCCAGTGCCAGCCTTGCAAGCCTTCTTGATGGCAGGCACCGTGTACGCCTCCATGTCGATGATCGACTGCCGCACCTGGCCCTTTGTGAGGCTCACGCAGGTGCAAATCACGTCGTCATCTGCCAGACCGGTTCCATCGCCGCCATCCACCGGCGCCCCAGCCACGGCCCCGGGTGGCGGGCGCCTGAAGGCCAGTGAGGCCGGGTCGCTGCCTCCGAGGTCGTCTTTCTTGCTGAGCTGCAAAAGTTTCGTGTAGTCCTTGGCATCTCCCACCAGCACGCCGCCCATGAGCTTGGTCCCGTCCTCCGAGAAGCAAAGTCGGCGGTAGGTGCCGGAGACGTCGTCCTTGCTCTCAATGAACTTCACTGTGGGGTCCTTGCCATCGAACTGGCGCTTGAACCAGAAGTCCGCACTGCGTCCAAAGGAGGCCACCTCCACTCCCAGCAGCTTCAGCTTGGTGCTGAGGTCGCTGGAGTGGTATTCCGCCGTGCCGCTGCCCTGCAGGAGATTCTGCGACAGCGCCTCTGCCTGCTCCACCCCGGGTGCCCACAGGCCGTAGCACATGTTGCCCCCGATGGCCGCCACCTCACCGATGGCATAGATAGACTCGTCCGAGGAGCGCAGGCCACTGTCCACCTTCACGCCGCCCCGCGCGCCAAGCTCCAAGCCGCACTGACGTGCCAGCTCGTCGCGGGGCCGCACGCCGCAGGACACGATGATCAGATCTGTTTCCAAGATGTTGGGCGCCTCAGCGCCCTTTTCCAGGAGCTCAATGCCCGTGACCTTGCCATCCTCCTGCACTACACGCTTGATCTGCACCCCGCAGTGCACGTGAACGCCCAGATCCACGATTTTCTTGCACAAGACGGAGCCCGCAGCTTCGTTCAACTGCGTGGGCATAAGGTACGGCGCCATCTCCAGCACGTGGCTCTCCAGCTTCAGGTCATAGACGGCCTTGGCCGCCTCCAGACCCAGCAGGCCCCCGCCGATGACCACAGCGCGCTTGGCGCCCGCCTTCACCGTGGCCAGCAGCGACTCCAAGTCCTCGATGGTACGGTACACGAAGACACCCTCGGGTCGGCTCGCCGGGTCGTCCGGCCAGTGCACGTTCTTCTTCTCCGGGATGGTCATGCCCGGCACCGGCGGCACGAAGCAAAAGGAGCCCGTGGCCAAGACCAGCACGTCGTAGCCCGCCGTCAGTGTGGACTCGCCGCTCGTGTACGACACCTTCTTGGACTCGCGGTCGATTCCCACAGCCCGGCCGTAGATGAGCTCAACCTTCAGGTCCTTCAATTCTTCCTCGCTGACGTAAGACAGCTTCATCTTGTCATGCTTCTCTGTGTCCATGTGCTCGAAGTACTGCGTCAACATCACCCGGTTGTAAGCCGGCCGCGGCTCCTCACACAGCACCGACACTTTGTACTCTCCAGATGCAATCTTCTCAAGGAAGGAATGCCCAATGGGCCCATGCCCTACCACGAGCAAAGACTTGGCCATGCTACTGATGCCCAACAAAGGACTCCGTCCGTGAGTGGGTCTTTCCAAAACAGCTGCGGGCGTCCCGGCATCAAGAAATACACGCAGCTGCCACAACTCGTTAGCCTTCAAGGCATGAAGGTTCCTCCCCAAAGCAACTGATCAGTGCAACTGTTGATTGCTGCAGGCAAAGGAAATGTGTCCCAATTCACGCCAGTCTCTTTTCACCCACCCATACAGTACAAGCAGGATGCACCAAGGTCACGACGCTGCTTTGAGGTTGTTGATCAGAGCATGGGGTTCAATCCTCAGCGGAAAGCACAAAATCAGGTATCATAACCAGAACGAAGGATGCAAAAAGGACCTGAAACATCTGCAATTGTTATTTCAGCACATTGATGATATAGGACAATGATTGGAAATGCAGGAAGCCAAACCAACTTTTAAGGTTGGGCTCAACCATTTGGCTGAGGTAACCATGTCACTGGTGAAGACGTTTGCTACTCACTGAAATGACATCTGCTTGCTATCGTATCAATGTCGTAAGCTCTTTCTTTGTCATGTCGAACCTAAACCTGAGCAAGACTTGCTCGTGCTCAGCAGAGAATGAGGGAATGAACCTGTGGATTCCCTTCACGGAAACCACCAGTGGGATGGTTTATGGGGGCGTCATTCCCTCCTTCCCTGCTGAGCACCAGCAAGAAGAAAAACCGAAAAGATGTTCACTGGTCAGTCCAGGCTCTTGCTTCTCGCGGGCGCGGAACTGGTACCTGCGGTAACCTGCAATCAACTTCACTGACTTGAGCATGTTGATCTGACATGTGAGGTCCGTGGTTCCGTGGCTGTGTGCGCGGCCTTGAGGGTCGAGCGCTGTCATGACCGACAAGAATACGCTCGGCTTCCGAGCAGCTCACGCTCTGAGACAGGCAAAGGCGGACACAAAGGCAACATGGGTGTGGCCTATAGAAACCGCAGGTTTTGGTCCATGTCTCCACTTACCAGGCTTACCAGGGCAACCCATTTTAGAATGAATTCCCCGGTTTTTTGGAATTCCAAAGGCCACATCCGAACTGCAGTGCCCGGCTTCTGCGCACCATTTTTTTAGAGGCTCGCCGCCCAGAGGCACTCTCACCACTTGCCGCCTTTCCATGTGCCAACAGGCGCGGCTCCCTGGCATCGGGCTGGCACTATAAGCACTTAAGCGCTACACCTCCTCTCAATTGGCTGTGGTTGTCAAAACTAGGGTAAGCCCAAAATGGCACCTTGGTACATGAATCAAAGACTAAAACCTGCGTAACCCTGGCTGTTTAATTTTGAGCCACACCCATTTCACAGATTTCACACTCGCACACCTTGCTGGTCGATAGGCAGGGAATGAGAAATGGAAGGACCCCGCGGGAAGAATTTACCAAAAAAAAAAAAAAAAAAAAAAAAACGCACACACACACACACACAAACACACACACGCACATGCCCTCGGGTGTCCGTTCTTAGGGGTTTGCGCCTTTTTTTTCAGCCGGCTCCGTCCGTTCCCAGCACGCCCGACCTTCCCCGGAGCTTTGAAGCCCGCGGGCGGCCGGATCTGCGGCCAGCTCTGGATGGGCGCCTGAGGCCTCTGTTCGGCGAACGAGAGCAACTCGCTGGGCACACGAGGTCAGCTGGGCGGTCTTGCTTATTTTCACCTTTCTTTTTTTTTTAGTAGGGACCCAAGGGACCCAAACTGGTGGACATCAGCCACCACTTTTGAGGCGGTTCCAAGCATTAAAAAGATTCATAGCCAGCCGGGACTTAACTGCCTGATGGCCGGCGCACTGGGAGCCGCGTACTTCAGCTTCGCGGTTTCGTCTCCGGCATCACTCCGCCGTTGCCGGTCTCTTCTACATTCCTGCGAACAAAAGCAGAACTTGAGAACTCCATCTGAGTCATAATCAACACTTGGTATTAAAATGGTCGTAATCCCAGAACCATGTGAAAAATTGTTCGAAGGCGGATATCCGCAACTATTTCTGGCTGGGGCTGCCCCTTAGCAACCTTCATCAATTATCGGTTTTTGAGCAAGTGGCTCGAGCTGTGAGCTCTGAGCGGCCTCGGTGAACTTCACGAAAATCTCCGGAGAGTCCACGTTCTCCATGTTCGCCGTCAACACCGCAGGATCTCCGCTGATGATGACTGTGTCCTGCAATGATATAAGAAGCCCGAAACGTCGAAGCTCAGCAGAGCGCCTCGCCTTGATCAAGTCCACCAGATCATTCACAGTTTTGAGGGAGAAGGCCTACAACTGAATCTTGGAATGACGCGGGCAAAGCAGAGAGCGCCTGCGGGTTCAGAGTCTTCTTGAAGTACTTTGTAAAGTAAAAGCTGATATGGACTTCCGGAATGTCCAGGCGGTCCGGATCATCAACATCCTGCAGTTTGTCGCATCGAAGCAGAATTAACCACTTAGAAGAGAATGGTCCTTCTTGAAGCATTCCTGCAACAAGTAGAACTCGTACCGCATTTGCAACAGCGCCCAATCCTGCATACAGAGCAAATTGAAAACGTTCGGGCAATAGAAAAGCACATGCATCATGATACATGTATCATGTCTGGTGGCAAAATACTCTTCAAATTCACGTGGCTGAGCCGCAGATCTGGCCGGCCTCTGCCGCGAAGTTTGCATACAATGGTTCACCATCCCCCATATCATCAACATCCTTCAGGGCCAAGCATCAAGTCATGCCGACATGCAGCAAGCGCATCAAGTCCTCTATGGAGAATATGTCCAAAACCTGAGCCAGCACATCTGCAAGCCACTCAACATGCTCAAAATCCAATGCCTTCCTCTCTGGTTCATCAGTGTCTTTCTTCTCCTTCTTGGCTGGAGGGTTGGCTTTAAAGGTCTTTTGCTTCGCCTGCGCATACCGAAAGTGAGCAAAACCATGATGCAAATAACAGCCCCTGCCGAGCCGGCTCACCTGCCAATCTTGGAAAAGCTTTTGCCACTGAGCCACCTTGTCCTGAACCAGTCAACGCGCACATTGCGCACAAGCGCGTGTAAGACCCACACGCAAACAAACAAAAAAAGAATGTCGGTCCGCGAAGTACTTGGAGGGCTGCAGGTCTTCGATGCGCATGGTCTGCTTGGCCTCCATGATCCACTTCTTCAGGTACTCCTTGCTCTCGGCCTCGCCCTCCCAGACGAACTCCACCTCAGGTCCAAGCCTTCCGTCCGTCGTGAGACGCATGGAATGTGCCAAGCTCAACCTCAGGTCCCGTTTTTTTTGGTAGGTTTTGAAGGGAAACGAGAAGGAAAACCAAGATTTGGGGGGGTTCACTAAAAAAAGACACAGCCAAGTGTGTTGCATGCAAGCCACCGCATCGAAACCTTCCGACTCCTCCGGAACGGTGAAGTTGGCAATGCTCTTGGAAAGGGCCTCAGCGTGCAAACTGAGATCTCGGCCAAGCGCCTCTCTGCAAAGCTTGCCAGTCCTTTCCCCGGAAAGGTGATTGAGCCGCCTGCGCCTGGTGCAATGTCACTTCCCGCGGCTTTGGGACGAAACTCGACGTTTAGCTCCTCTTCTGTCAACTCCACCTGGCTCTGGGAGCTGAAAAATGCGGGCAGCACCTCTACTAAGCACCTTGGGCGGCTCCTCGCCCATCCCATCGTCATCCTCTTCTTGCTTCACCTGGATGCACTGCAAAGTCAGAATTGCCAAGCGCCAAAGAAAAGTGCACCTCCTCTTCCTTCACCTCCGCTTTTGGCTCGTCCTTTGCATCTTCAGCATTCTCTGCCTTGACCTCTTCTTTCTTGGACTCATCTCCGGCCTGTCAAAAAAAGAAAACGCTTGCCAAGTACCGAGCACACATGGGTGTGCCTTTTTTCGAGGGTACTTGTTCTTGAGGTTTTAAAAGGGGATCCAAAGAGGAAAAGCGCCACTTGGCTGTGGGTCAAACCCTGTACACCTGGTGAACATCAAAATAGGTGGCAAATGGATGTTCATCCACCCCAAAATGGAGCCATAGGTTATGCAACCCATGGCCATTTGGGGGGGCCTACAAAGAGAGACACGCCCACAGGGTGCCTTTTTCAACGCTTCCTCGAGCAGCTTCTTCCGACTCTCCTCGGCTTTTCTTCTCATCTCTGCCAACTCTTTCTGGCGGCGGGCCATTTGCTTGGCCTGGTCTCTTTGCGCCTTCTTCAGCTTCCATTCCTCTGCCCGTTTTCAGATCCGCTAGTGGCTGACTGTTAGTGGCCTAAATACGGAAGCTACCACTAAATCTCCAAAACAAGCTAAAAGGCTGAGGGGATGGCTGGGAGCCACCAAGATTCGTTGTCACTCTTGGACTGCTTCTCCTTAAGGATCTTCGCGCGCAGCCGATCCTTGAACTCTTCAAGGGGCTTGCCCATCACCACCATGGCAGACTTCTTGAAGTGCGGCAGGCTGAACCTCTTCAGCACCTCTGCGCGTTCCTCTGCCACGAGGTTGCCTCGCACCTCCATGACCACGTAGTTTCTGGGGATGGTGGCGGCAATGGAATTGATCACCTTCTGAAGGCTCAAGTCCTCTGGAGACTCCAGAGCAAAAAATGCGTGTGTGTGTGTGTGTGTGTGCTTTTTAGAGGACGCCCCAAAGTGACTGTCTTTCCCTTCAAAATGTCAAACCCGGCTATCCTCAAAACAAAGGGCCACCACCCACTCAGGACACGTCAGGCAGAATGCAAGAAGACCAAACTGGTCCTCCAAGGTACCGATGCCGTAGCTGAAGGACGGCTTGTCCAATGACCCGCCCTTCGGCTTGGCGAGGCCACTGCTAGCAGCCCATTGCTGCAGCTTTCGGTCACTGAGCTCCACCCAGGAGGGATTCTCCTAAGGGGTCTGGCAAATGTCAGTTCAACACACGTGTATTTTTTTGAAGGGCACCCTGTTGTTGGTTGTGTTAAAAGGAAACCAAAAAGAACACTACATATATATATATATATATATTACGCTACATCTCTTCTGCGAAGATATCATTGCCTGTTGCACCGCGTCGCGCCTCCAACCAATCATCCAACCAATCGAAGGTGCCCTCATCTGGCACCGCTACAGGCAGCATAACGTTGAAAATGCCTCCAGGTTCTTTCGACTCAACCACATCAGCTGCAGCTGCTGACTGCAGCATTCTGCATGTGAATGGCAAGCTCCTCAAGACTTGCGGGCCCATGTTCACCTGAACCGTGACATTGCGGAAGCAGATGTGCGGGTAGAGGGGCTTGTCCCGCAAACCTTGGGCAACCGATTGCGCAAACCCTGCTCAGTTTATAACGCGGCCACGGGTCAAAATCCAAAATCGTACCCTCAGTGAACATCCCAATCCCCACTAAAATGGACTAAAATGGGTGGTGCACCTACCCCAAAATGGTACCGTGGGTTTTGGCCACATCCACGTAGCTCTGCCAGAACCTAAGGCTCAGACACTGCGGGATCGGCTGCGGCTCTGCTATTCGCGCACCCTCACGGAAGAGGCTCATGGTGTAGGCATTTGAACTCTTGGGGTCCAGGTTGAGTATGACGGTAATCACCTCAACTCCGGAAGCCCGCTGCAAAGTGCCAATCCACATGGTGGTTGATCAATAGTCCGACAAGGCCACACAATGACCATGGGTAACTTCTCCCATTTAATGGTGAGAGTCTTCCATTTTTATGGTTTCCCCAACGGTCATCCCATGCACAACTCCCTGCCGCTCGCCTGATCTCGCGTGAAGTTCTGCGATGTCCGCTTCTTCAGCTTGCCCGACCCAAAATTCCCCTCGGAGTCGAAGTAGGCACACTCATCGCTCTCTCCCAGGACCAAAGAAGATCCTGACCGCCGACATCATGGGAGGCAACCAAGCAACAATGCCCCGAGTTGTCAACTTGCATCTGTCATGCAACTCCCCTGCCTGCGGCGGAGAAACCTAGGCGCACCAGTTGCCTCGAATCGGATCACATCTGGCAGTCATTTTTATTGGGGGTAGCCCATGTTTGTTTGATTTTTCAAAGGAAACTAAAGGAAAACCGTACCATGTTGGGGGGGTCCCCAAGAAAAAGAAGCAGGAACAAAACGTTGCGCCATTTTTTTTTTGGGGGGGGGGCCGGTCCCTTCCTAAAAGGAGGGAACCACCTTTTAGAAGAAAGCGGGTGCCACCGGCCTTTGCTCCCGCCTTGGCTGCGGTGTTCGACCGTGGATGCCCTGTGTCGACTCCACGGGGTTGAGGGCCTCAATGATCTTCACCTCATACATGTAGCGACCAGCCTGCCATGAAGCCACGGCACGTATAACTGGCCATGGGTCAAAAGCCCGTACCCCCAGTGAACATCCCAATCCAACCACTAAAATAGGTTCTAAAATGGGTGGTGCACCTGCCCCAACATGGTACCATTGGTTTCGACCCACATCCAACTCATGGCTTGGCGCGATAGGGGAATGACGGCCGGGAATGAAAACCGGACCGGGGATTCCAGGAGGATTTTTCTGTCATTCCAACTCATTCCCTGAGAACCAACAGGTCACTCAACAAGCAGCAGTGCATGGTACTTGTGCGTGAGGAATCCACCCGGACAAAGTAGAGTAAAGCGCGCACAGTGGGAATCAGACCTGATGAAAATGTGCCAATACGTCTGAAGACCAAGGGTGTCACTTGCAATCAAACCTCTCATCACCTGAGTCGCAATCAAAACCCGGCATTAAAATCGTCTACCCAGAACCAATGTAAAGAACTACCTGGGTTTTGATTGTGGCTCACCTGGCGTGCTGCATCTTGGGCCTTCATTCCAACGCTCGCTCTGGCCCCGGCGACCAGGTACTGCATGCCACCTTCGGTCAAAGCCATGAGCACCTCAGCCGAAGCTGGTGGAAGGAAATCTTCTAACATTTGATATTTGGCTGTGGGTCAAAACCCAAATCGTACCCCCAGTGAACATCCGATTCAATCCCACCACTAGAATAAGTTCTAAAATGGGTGGTGCACCTACCAACCAAGATGGTACCATTGGTTTTGACCCACAGCCATTTGGGTGCGTCTGCTTTTAGGGTCTTCCCCAAAATGGTAATGTTCCTCTTGGTTTCCCTTTAAAACCAACCAAAAGGAGGCTCCCAAAAAAGAGACAGACCCAGTTCTGCCTGCAGCTTGGGCGCTTTCCCTTGCATGGCTGGCACAACGTTGAGCGTCGTATCTATGCCATGGAAGCTGACCGCAGCTTTGGTCACAGGGCGAGAATCTGGTGGAGCGTCTTTCTCTACGTCATCCTCAGGACTACATTTGGGAATGGCTCAAATGAAGAAAAAAACAAAAAACGCCGGTGCTAGTCCTTTCCACTTACCAGGGCAACCAATTTTGGATACCCATTTCCCACTTTGTGACCTACACCCATTTGACCGCTCGACCCAATGTCCGTCTGCAAAGCGCCTCTTTGCAGTCGCGCTTTGCAGCCGGCTCATCCTCAGCCTTGGCAGCCTTCCTTTTCTTTGCGTCCTGAACCACCAGCTCTCGGCCACGGGCACACCTTCAGAAGCTGATCCCCAATAAAGAAAACGGTGCGGGGGGTCTTTTTTGTCAGGATGCCCCTTTCTTGGTGGGTTGTTAAAAAAAAGAAGGAAAACCACCCATTTTAGTGGGCCCCGAAACAAAGACATTTTCAGGTGAGCTTTTGTAAGGATAGCCCCAAAAGGGCATGCGCAATCTGTGGAGTTCATATGCCGCGGTGCCTCGGCTTTCGGCGCCATGGAGGCTACAAGTGGCGTGGGACTGAGCAAAAAGGGGCATCGGCACGCCGCTACGTGCCGAAAACGCAAATTGAAATTGGGGGTGTCTTAATATAGGGGACCCCCAAATAGCGGGCTTCCCTTTGTTGTCCCAAAACAACAACACACAAAGGGGGCTCCGCAAAAAAGCCGCCCACATGCAGCAGAATCAGACGCAAAGCTGGTCATGCAACAAAGCGTCTGAACACACTACCCGTCAGCTGCAAGGCTGCAACATCTTTTGCGCTGCTGACGCTTCGCCATGGGCAAAAGACACACCCGATGAAAGGCAATGTGTAGCACACTCGCCAGTCTGCTTTGGCTCGCAAATCAGCAACGCCCGGCAACTGCAGGCCAAGCAGAAGTGATTGTGCCATCTCGCCACAACTTGGCCATAAGTCAACAAGCAACGCAAAAGGACACTTTGTGGAAGTTGAAATCCAGAATTGGCTCCTGATGGGGGACTGGCGCAAATGACAACGCAGGCACTTCTCAGGTACCCTGAGAGAGCCTCCTACGCGTTGGAACCTCTGTGTGAAAGCTGCGCCGGAGATCACAGAGGCTCAATTCGCAGAAAAATCCCAGTGCAGGTCCTGCAAGTCATGCAGGTCAGGCAGGTCATTCAATGCCAGCTGAAGCCATAGGTGACCTTTTGGAACTTTCCTGGTAAATGTAAGACCAATCTAAAACAGTGCCATCCATTTCTGACCAAACTAACCTGACAAGGACACCTATGGCTGAAGCGTGAATGCCAATGTGAAAGAGAAACTCAGCGCCGCGAACCGGCTTCCTGCATGAGAAACTCGCGCTGCTTCCGAAACCAGTTGCGCCGTTGCTTCGCACGACGTTCCAGAATCTGCGCGACAAAGCGAGGTAGAGACTTCCGTGGTCAAAAAAGTCATGCTCGCAAAGCACCAACATGAGCTCCTGCAATAAAGACTCCTCCACGCCCTCGCCCCAGGCCTCGAACACGGCAAGCCATAGGCATCCTCTGAGAAAAGGTGTTGTTCTTGGTAGTAGCTCAATTGGCCGTCGTGACCCCAGCTGAGGTGCGTGCGAGGATGTAACCCAAGCTGTTGTTTTCGTCAAGGAAAGAACAGAGCTGAGGTCATGTTGGGAGAATGCGCAATGTCAAAGCCATGCTCTTCTCAAAGAATTGCTGTATTTTTGTCCCTTGGGTTGAGCAGATCAAAAAAAAAGAAGGGCCGTAACAAGCAAGGTCACGTTGTGATTCCAACGGGCGCCAACCCGTTGTGAATCTATGTTGAATTCCAAAAGAAATTGGAGCAGCTCCTGACTTCTAGAACTGACCCAATTGGTATGGGTCAAAATTACATAAAATTACGGCACCAGGATACGCATGTTTCCATTTAGCCCATTTGGGGTACCTATGATTGACCCACACCCAAATAGCTTGACTCAATCCTTTGCTGAGGCACGCGCCATGCCCTCCTGGAGCTTCTTCGCAGGCAGAGACAGGTCACCTGCGAGGTGAGGTTCGTCACAGCCAAGTTGGTCACAAGTTCCACGGCCTCCAGCAGCCACGGCCTGCCAAAGCACGAAAGCACGGCACTGCCCACACGACTCTCATGTGAGGATTGATCAATCCCTTCCGAGGCCCCGTGTGGGAACTATCATCTCGGTAGTGGTTGTCCCCAATGGTCATCCCATGTAAAGGGGGTGAGGGATCAAGCAAACTTACTGGGGACAAAAACCAAAAAAGTGTGTGATAGATGTACTAAAAAAGTGAAAAGTCTGAGGATCAAAAAAAAGTGTATTCGGGGAAAAAATGGGAACACAACTGGGGTCGAGATGTATTTTTTACTGTTTTGTTTGTTTTTCGTCCCGGGCAGTCAAAATGCTGTATTTTGCAGCATTGTATCACGAAATGCACGTATTTACACTAGCTCGTCAACATCCTTAGCACTGTTGTCAACATCCTCAGCTTCTCACTCACGAAATGTGCATATTTTGCACTAGCTCGTCAACATCCTTAGCCTTTTTGTCAACATCCCCAGCTTCTCACTCACGGAATGCACGTATTTTACACAAGTTTTTGCTTTTCAACATGCCAAGCTTCTCACTCCAACACCCGTAGCATCACCAGCAGGTCGTGACTTGAATTTGCCTTGGCTTCCCACATCCTCAGCATCACCAGTTCCTCTCCAACAAGTATGTTTTGTTTATGCATGTAGGTACGTAAGTATGCATGCATGTAGTTTATGTATGCATGCATGCATGAATGAGATCCTTCGAATTGCGGTTTGTGAAAATGCGCCGATTCCTGAAACCGATCTTGAGAACCTCTCATTTCCTTTCCTGTCCTTTCCTTTCCTGTCCTTTCCTTTCCTTTCCTCCCTTCCTTTCCTTCCTTCCTTCCTTTCCTTTCCTTCCTTTCCTGTCCATTCCATTCCTTTCCTTTCCATTCCTTCCTTTCCTTTCCTTTCCTTCCTTCCTTCCTTCCTTCCCTTCCTTTCCTTTCCTTTCCTTTCCTTCCTTCATTCCTTCCCTCCTTACCCCAGAGTAATGAGAAGAAGTTGTTGTTTGATCCCTACAGAGTTTCTTTTGATTCCTAATATGTTTTTCATGCCTAATATATATATATATATATATATATGTTTGATGCCTACCGTATCCCATGTAAAGGATAGAAATTTGATCAACCCTCATATGCCCACACATCGCGCCCCTCACCTGCAACGCGATGAGTTCCAAGGTCTCTGGAAGCATCGCATCTCTCAGCCTGGAATCTCCAGGTATGTTACACGTTGTCCGCTCCAACCAAGCGTCAACTCAGATTCGTCCCTTCGAGCATTGGTTCAAGAAGGACCCCCTGGCTCCCTGCAAAACAACTTGGAACCAAACATTGGGTTCCCTGCATTCTGCTGCAATTGCTTTTTCTGTCCATCGAATCCATTGACCGCTAGGCCATAACAGGGCATGGTTGCCAGAGCTGCTAACACTACTTCCTGGGACGCGTATTCAAGTCATCGTGACCAGTAGCAGCCAGAAAGGAAAAAGAAACCGACACGGCCAAACTACCCGAGCTACACGGTTTAAAACTGCCCAATGGTATCAAGACAGGGACCAAAAGGAACACCAATCAGACAAGAAACATGTGGGGCGATGAAACCATGCCTAGGGTGAGACATCAGCCCTAGGCCCGGCTAACATGAAACGAGTGACATGTTGACTGTTTAATCAGGCACCAACTTCTGCGGCCTTACGCGCGCTGTGCGCTCGCGCGCGTCTTCCTCTGCGCTGCTTCCCTGCATAAAACCCCGGCAGACACCGCGACTGATTGGTGCCCCCAGGCGCGGCAGTCTTGGCAAGCCGGGAGCGCGCGGCGCGCAGGCTGGCTCAAGGTCGGAGCGAACCTGCAAGGAGCAGCAAAAGCAGTCCCTCGCCAGCGCAAAAGCTGAGCTGGCTGGAGGAACGCATTATGGCGACGCAGCAGGCGTGACCCCAGCCAGGGTCTTTCGTACAAACCGCCGCTGGCCGCAGTGGTTGGCACCTGCCCGCAACGCGAAGGGCTGTTAGCTTCCGCCCAGCTAAGGGGACTGGGCCATAGGCGATGCGCGGGCATCGACCTCTCCTCCAAGGAGCTGCGGTGGCCATAGCTCGCGGGAACTCCCCTTCCTAAGACCTTGTTCTTGGCTCGCACTTCGCTGGTTGAGTCACCAGCCCGCCCTTGGGTGACGGGAGCTCCGCTGCTCCCAGCCAAGAGCTCACGAAATCCGAGTCTGGCGCGTCACAGTCGACGCAGTCCCAAAGCCTTCCATGCGCCCTTCTGCGCAGCCGCCTCTTGTGTCTCGCATGGTGGGCAAGCTTCGACACAAAACCTGTGACCCCCGAGCACTTTCGTGTTCACAACTTGCAAGCTCAGAGAATCAGCCTTCATAGGTGTTTTGTCAGGTCCTTTTGCACATTGGCAATGCGAAACACTGCATGCCACTGTGATGTGTGATCTCTTGTACACCTTGAAGCTAGTTGAAGAGCACACGATACAAGCCCAATGCAAAGAAAGGATCCCAAAAGCGGGCTCCTTCACACACCCACCAAGCTAACCACAAACGGTGCATTCCATTCTGAACAGACTTGCATCAAGAGATCTGAAAGCAGCTTTGGCAAGGAGCATCTACAAATGAAGCAGAATGTGCAGCATAGGTTCATTGGGTTGCAAGAAGCTAGGCACTCTGACAGGCCTTGTTTTGCCAAAGAGACCTTGAAGCGCACGCAATGCGCGAGACGCCTGCACTATGCGCTGTGTATTGAATCGCGGATCCTCTTGATTGAAATCCTGAATCATGAAATGCTTGGCATGTTGCGGAAAGCAATGCGCATTGATAGTATGATAGCACCACCCGTGCGGTTTGCTAGTGTGGCAGGCATTGCACACCACGTCATGTCATGTGACGGAACGAGTATGCTGTCTAGATTCTGCCACCGCACAGATGTCGATCCAGTCTAGGTAAACGTGCGGATCCGGCGAGCACTTTCTCATGTGTTGCAGCTTAAGTAAGTCACGCGCGGGTGTCAAGTACATCTCACTTGGAGGCACCATGTGACAAAGTGTGGGCAGAAGAAGGCGAACCATATCCGTTTGCTCGAGGTGAAAGCTGGGCTTGGGACTCGAAATACATTCCGCAGTTGTTTGGAAACTTCATAGCAATGCATGCAGTCATTTGGCTAGAGGGTAGCTGGGTATCAGCTACCCGGTCTGAATCAAAACGACTTGCGCAAGTGAAGAAGCCTGGCTGGAAGAAAAAGAAAAGAAGAAGAAGAAGAAGAACAAAACCTGCCTCGTTGCTGCATCATGGTTGGCCAACACTGTTGAGATACGCTCTGCCTGCAAAGGCAGGAATCATTGCAAGCTCCACGTTCCACCGTTCCACCGATCCTAGTTGGTTCAAAACCAGCCATGCCTGCCGCATACTGAGGAGGGTTCGCGAATGCCTGCCATCAAGTGACACTGCCATGATTCCATTTGACAAAAAGCAGCTGCAAGTATGTGCCTGTTCCAATCTCGGAGCTCGTGAATCTCCAAGATCAGGCCTCTGCAGTCTCTGCAATGCGCTCCGCAGGAAGCTCAAGGTCGTTCGCCCATTGCAATGCTTGAACTGCGGCAAGTAGACCAAAGAAAAGTGGTATGGAGCTTCTGGACTGCTGGGCTTCAAATCCGTGAGCTGGAGAGACAGATAGTTGGACAACCCTTCGAGTCAGATGCCCCGGGATAGCAAAACAACTTGGCAAGAAATTGAGCCAGGGATATATTCTGGCTCTTCATTCCTGATTCTGGCGGGTTCCCAGCAGGGAATGGGAATTGGAATGACCCCCTGTGGTTTCCTTTGGCTCATTCCCAACACCCGGGCTCGTCCATTCCCTACCTATCGCACCAGCAGGTGTTGTCCAAATCGCTCGAGGCCAGCACGCGCTCGTGGCTGCAAGACGAAGGGCTCGCAATCCACAGCCACCAGCTGCTTGTAGGCCTTACGCTCGTATCTTGAGTGTATCTCAAATATGGGCGGCTCGTCTCTGGAGGAAATATCCCTTTTTCGGTGGCGGGAAACCAAAGGAAACAACAACCCAGTTTGAGCCATTTTGAGCTGGTCCAATTATATATCCTCATAAAGGAACACCATCTGCCTATTGAGGCTGATGGAATCACCCCCGCGCCTGGCGGGCTCCGCCTTCGCAAAGTGCCAGGAGCTCCTCCCGGCCCTCGAATCAAACTGACTCGCCAAGGTCTCGAAAAAAAATCGGAAGCTGAGCGACCCGCATCTCTGCCCGAGGCTTGGACCTTGCAAGATGGCAGGCGACATGCGCAGCGGTTCTTCGAACTCTGGCCAATTGAGACCTTTCGTCCGCAAAAAGCCAAGAGAATGCACAGCTGTCAGAAAGCACTGACCTGAGGGGTACTTGAAGCAAGTGCAGCGTCTCGGTACAGAAGCAGACCGGCACTGAAGTGATCCACCTTGGTCCGACGAAGCCGCATGCCCGAAAGCGAGTGCCGCATTCTGGGAATGAGGCCAAAAGTTCAGCCCATATCCTGTCCTGGCCCGTATTCCATGCCTCTCCAAAAGGTGTCTCACACCCAAAAAGCACCGCAAGCTGTGTGAGACCAAGTGAGAACTGAAACACCTTGAGCCTTTCGTGCCCCACAAATGTGGACGCATAATGTGTATCTTCCAGCATCGGAATCAAAATCAAGTGATGCGAATGAACCGGACTCCCAAGCCAACACCGGCATGTCAGAACTCAGAGGGGCTCCAGGAAAAGCTTCTGCAAACTCAAATGAAAAATAAATAAATGGTACAATCGTAGGCTTACCCTCAACCTTTCAAGCGCAGCTTCGCCGCGACCTTCACATGGGCACAAGGCCTTCACTTTTCTACTTGCTGTCTAGCACCTTTAATGTTGACCCCGTACACATCCACCCCAGTTTATCAACCCTCCAAAAGTGATGATTCCCCACCAAACCCAGGGACACCCCCCTATGTTTATTGATTCGTTTGGGGTCCGCGTTATCCCTCTCCAAATGTGATCAGCTCATTACTCTGCAGCTGCCCCGTTTTCTGGACAAGGCGGCACATGAGCCCCAAACCGTCCTCGTCGAAGATTGACTTGCATGGCTTGCTGGCTGCTGCCAGTGCACAACAATCCCCAGGAGCCTGTCCAGGCGGCCACGTTCTTGCATGAAGGCGCTTGGCAAATCTGAGCTGACCAGGAGTGGAACTACAGACAGCGCAGGAGCTTTGAGCAGCATTGACCTACAGCAAATGCCCGAAAGCTTTGTGGCTGCCCAGTGCCCAGTTGAAGCAACTTGAGCATTTCAATTGCCCAGTGCCTCAAGGACAGACCTGCACGCACCTAATGAATGTTGTGCTTTTGACAACCAGCTCAGCACCAACTGGAAGCTCAGTCGATGCTAAATCATGCTAGCCCGCACAATCACAATGTGTAGTGTTGGAAGTGTCCTTTCCATGTAACCTCATTCAGGCTTGCAGGGCTTGCTTGAGCCCGCCTTGAGCCAAGGATTCCTGAAAATTCGCCCACAGCCACTGTCTCACAACTGCGGCAAAGAGGATAGAATAGCTTGTGCTCTGTGCTATACAGCACAAAAGCAGGAAATTTCACTCGCATCTCGTCGGAAACAACCTTCTGACTCTTGCCAAAGCACTTTGGCCTGGCCAAATGTTTTTGCACACGGACTCTGCACGAGAGCACATCCATAAGGTGCGTCCACTCTAGAAGCACTTACTGTGAACAATCGCAGGGCCGACATCATCATATTCCTGCTTCCTTGGCGGCAATGGCTGTCTAAATTGCAAGCCAACACCTTGGGTCCCCTGCGAGATCAGCATGTTGTGGAAGCTAGACAGCTGGGACAGAATGGATGCACCCATCCAAACAATGTACCTCCGTTGGAACCCTGTGCCACATAAAGACTCTCAAGACACGGCTGGCCATCTTTCTCTCTCTTTCTCTCTCTCTCTCTCTCTCTCTCTCTCTCTCTCTCTCGCGACCCTCTCGCTTAGTAATCATTCACTGGAAATCAACTCTCAAAAACACGCTCCCTTCCCTTCCAGCGCTTTTTGCTCACATGGAGGCTTGTAAATCCCTTATCCAAGTCATGAGTCTCTATTCCCTGAGCAAGATGTCAAGGGCTTCCTTTCCATTTTTTATCACCCAACCTCTCCTGCAAACGAACCAAATGAGAGAACTAAATGAAGGAAGACGATGTGGTTGGGTGAAGAAACGGCCTGTCTTACCTCCGTTCGTTCGCATCAAACATCTCCCGCGCACCCAATTGGGGGCAAAGACGTGGATGAGGCCGTGACCAAATTAGACGATTAAAAGATGGACCGGTGAAGATATTCTATGCCATAGCGGGCGTTTCCAAGAGAAGTTTCGACCTCATGAAAGGGTAAGCCTTAGACTCTTCAAATAACGATTGCCAAGCTGCCGTGCTTTGATATTCAGTAATCAAAAAAGTGGAGCTGGCAGCTGGACAGTTGTGCAGCTGTTGCTTATGTTGCCTGCTCCTGTTGTCCCTAATAGTGCTGTCAAACGAGGTCAGAAGTCAAGCAAGTAGAGCTGGAGGACTGTTTCTCCGCCATCTGCCATCTTGTCACTCACGACCTAGCGCTTGAGTCCAATTTAACAGAAATAAAATTTATGGATGTGCAATTCTGCCACCTTTGAAGTAGCAACCACCTGCACCCACTTTGAAATAGGTCTCGGAGCTTTGAATGCCTGCTATTCCTTCTACACGCGCTCTCGAGCACAATCACCTCGTGGCTTCGTTGTCCGCGAGCGAAAAGGCATCTCCGAGGAGGCTGACATGAGTTGAGTGTGTGGCTCGTGGTTTTGCTGCCCATCTCGGCACGTCAGAGGTTGCGAAAATCTGCTCTCATTTGTACGACCGATCCTGGCCAGAGAAGTACATCGCCTTCTCCCTCTCCATGGATGCGTTCCATGATGCCAGCTCCTTACTGCCAAACTCCTCACGTGGGGCATCTTCGAGCTCAAAGTTGTACACATTGCCCGTCCCACAAAGATGGGTCACACGGTCATGGCGATGAACTCCCGCTGAAGCTGCAACAATGCGAATTGCGAGGCCCACTCGGTCCTGTTGTTCTTGATTGGCTTGGCTGCTGTGGATGGTCAAAAAGCTGTGCACGGACGCTTCGCCTGGTTGTAAGTATGCTGGAACAGTTTCGAGCTCTGTCCATTCCACTTCGGAGGCTGGACTTCTCGATGTATCTGGGATGTACTGACCAAAGGCCAGCAAGTTTGACACATCTGTGCTCTCTGAGTGAGGCAGCTGCCCCAACAGATGAGACTTGGAGCGAAAGAGCAAAGGGCCACTGTGCTCTCCGACCTGAGAAAAAGCGAGCCAAACTGTTGCTGCGTCGTTCCCAAATTTGCTGTACGTAGAATCCTGATGCCAAGTGAAGTGCTCCGGGGAGGACCTTGGCTTCACGCACCAATCGGTGGACCAAATAAGCACCGTGTCAGTCTGTAGCAATGCGCAAGCTGCGTCTTTGAGCCTGTCATTACCCACCAAAAGGTCGTGCAGCCACGGCAGGAGCAAGTGCGACTTGAAACGATACTCAGACCAAAGTCCTTGCTGCAAGCATCGGTTGCGAAATGTCTGGTACCGGGGAAAGAAGGTCTCGGAGAAAGGTTTGCCCACACTGGAGAAGAGTGGCAAGGGGAAGCAAAACCCGTTCTCGTGATACTTCTCGAGAGTGGCAATGCTCCGACTCCCGTGAGCCGCCGGTCGAAGCACTCCCAACATGGCGAAGCGAGAAGCTTCGGCTGGTCATTCCGAGATTGAGCATGTATCAAAGGCACGTGCCATTGAGAACATGTCACGATTGCTGGTTCAATGCAGAAGCTTGCGACCGTGCGCTACGGTCGTGGACAACTTGTTACCAGCGAGGTGCTGGAGAAATCACCACACTTGTGAAGAAAGCCATCTCCGCAAAGTACCATGGTTGAAAAATATCCATATCTTTTAGCGGTTTCCCAATGGTCATCCCATGTTTCGCGACCTTTTGACCCACCCTCCACTCCACTCGTCACGCTTGCGCCTTCTCTGCGGGTTCGCCACCACCTTGACGTTGATCTTCTGAGGCGCCAAGGCCTGCAAGGTTCGACTCATGACCCTTCGGCCGGGAGAAAACAAAAATGCGGGGCCTGCAGCTCGGATTCAAGCCGCTCGGCTATACCGGGAAACATGGTGTTTCCTCAAAGCAGAAAACGCTCACTCACTCTGAGCTTCTCACTCTCTCTCTCTCTCTCTCTCTCTCTGTTTCTCTCTTTTTCTCTCTCTCTCCCGCTCTCCCGCTCTCCATGAAGCACTCCTCCACTGAGCACGATGTTTTTGAACAAATCCTTTCTCAAATCAATGTCGCAGGCCTGACGGGCTCTTCGAAAAAGTGATGATTGCCAAACAAGCACGCCTGCACACATTGATGAACAGATTTATGTAGCCTCAGCTGCGTTGCTTCGTCGTGGCTCGAAACTCTCATAGCACCCGAGGGTTTGCTCTTGCGCATTTTCACTAGCCTCCTCGTTTCGTCTAGTCATGGGTCCGGATCTGAGTGCACTTCTGGGCCCGAGTGCCGAATTGCAGTGGAGCGGCCCAGGTAGCTCCCGACCGGAAATCATGGGATCAAACATGACCTGCCGCTTCAAGCCAAACCACATCGACATGTCCTATAGCAATTTGGCCTCCGGAACTCGGAATCTTTCCGCCACCAAGCTGACCTGAACACATGCAACACGTGTACAACTGTTTCCATTTGCCGCATTCGCTCTCTCACCACCCTGCCTTCTGCCCATCTGGAAGCTCAAACAGGTGTTCAAAGTCGGTTGGCCTCTCCTGCACAGACTGCACACGACAACTTTCGGTAAATACGTGCATGTGTCGTCCCCGAGAACGTGCGTTGCAACGAAACAAGCCGACTCCGCAAGGCGTGTTGCCGTTTGGGGAAAAACGCATGCCGGTAATGTGCACAGCTTGCAGAGACATTGCAAGCCATCCAGAAGCACTGCCGGTTGTAGCTTGGCGCCTGTGCAGCCTGCAGCTCAGAGTTGAAGTCCCCACTACATACGTAGCAGGCCTGCTCCTTGCAATATTCACAATCACAAAAATACGCCGCGAAAAGCAACGTAAAGAAGAACAAAAAAAGGAGTGTCAGCGCCACATGGCAACTCTCGCGGATGTCCTTCATCTCGCGCACAATATCCTTCTCTGATGACGAGGTCATGCTGTGACCACTTTCGTGTAAGATCTGCACGCATCAAAGTCTCACATTGCATAAGTTCGTGGAGTCACTTTGTGGCCTTCACCATGTACTCCGACAAATCCCGGCCAGCCAGGTCCAACCTGGGCGCAAACATGTTGTGGTCGTTTTTGTTGTATCCGGGAGCCCGGCCTTTGAATTGCGTGCGGAAGAGCGAAACCTGCAGCCACCATGTCAAGTGGCAAGGACTTTTAGACAGAACCGCCAAGAAATCCACCACATTCTTGTCTCCCCGAAGGCCACAAAAAAGGCCCACAATATGGCAAATTCCCTAGAACAAGGATACAACCAATTATTGAAAGAAGCGGAAAAAATGC